TGTAAGTCTCATGAGAGCCGAGGGGTCAGAGCGTTGCCATGGGTTACCGTGGCAACGCTCCGCGCGGCAGTCACACCGCGAGACTTACAGGGGAGCTGACCGGACCGGAGGAGAAGGGAGCTGACAGGAGCTGCAGAAAAGGTAAGTTACAGCTCGATGCTAGCCCCCCTCCTACACAGCCCAGCCACTGGACCACCAGGGAATGAGAGCCCCCCTCCCTGGCCAGCTAACAAGCAGGGTGGGGGGACAAAAATTAAATAATAAAAAAACAATTAAAAAAATATATATATATTAAAAATTTTAAAAAATTAAATAATAAATTAATAAAAATACTAAAATTAAAAAAATTAAAATATTAAAATAAAAAAATTAATAATAAAAATGCCCTCCCTCCACCCAGTTCACACACACTGCACACACACACACACACTCATACAAACACACACACTCTGCATTATATACACACACTTATACAAACACACACACTGCATTATATACACACACACTCATACAAACACACTCTCTGCATTATACACACACTCATATAAACACACGCACTCATACAAACAATCTGCATTATACACACACACTCATACAAACACACTCTGCATTATATATACACACACACACTCTGCATTCACACAAACACACACATAGAGTGTGTGCATATATAATGCAGAGTGTGTGTTTGTATGAGTGTGTGTATAATGCAGATTGTTTGTATGAATGTGTGTATAATGCAGAGTGTGTGTTTGTATGAGTGTGTGTGTATATAATTATAAAAATCACAGAATTTCATAGCCCCAAGTTTTACCCTCGACTTATCCACGAGGCATAGCATATTTCGCAATTGTTGGTCACAAAACTGCACTCGACTTATACATAAGATTGACTTATACACGAGTATATAGTACATTTTGAGACTAAGTTTTTATTACCTTTTGTTATTTAATATATTTATAAATAATTGTAATTCCTCCGAAATATCCACTACTCTATTCTCCATTAGGAAATGCTTTATTCTCAAGTATGTAAAATTTTCTCTGTAAGGGAGGGAAAAGATTTGTCTAACCTCTTCTAAAGGCCTAATCTGATGTTGTTGTGTTATCTGATCTATTCTATTAGTAGCTTTAATCGTAAATATTTAGGGGTAAATCATTAATGATTTTATCTATTATTTTAAGCCTTTTTTCCCAGTTTTTCCACTGGGCCAAAAGATTATATAAAATTAGGCCCATATCACCTTTCTCATTCCTATGTATTTACCAAAACAAGGCTAATAGGTCTGGTACTTTCGATCTCATAGCCTCTATTTTTGCCCAAGCTTCCCCCCTAGAGCTCTCTTTCATAGAGGATACAATATGCGCCAAAGAACAAGATTCATATATCTCTGTAATATCTGGGACGCCCATCCCTCCCATTTTCGGTTTTCCAATTGAGAATTTTTTTATTAACCCTAGGTTTTTTTCCCCAGCCATATACATTTTTCTAAAGCTGACTGGATCATCGCCATGGTTTAGGCATTTTCAGAGGTAACATGCGAAATATGTAGCTCCATCTGGGGATCATATAAGATTTTACTGCGTTTATTCTGCCTGTCCATGAAATCTCTGCATTTCTCATATCTTTTAGTTGTTTGTTAATTTGTTTAATCAGAGGTCAAAATATAATGTTCTAGGATCCTATTTTAGGGTTAGAAGAGATTTTTATTCCAAAGTATTGTATATATTTTTTTGCCCATTCAAAGCTATATTTCGCTCTAATGTTTAATTTCTCTTCCTTACTTATATTTTTTAGCAAGAATAGTTGTTTTATCTACATTTATCTTAAAATTGGAATACTGTCCAAATTCAAGTATAGCCTTTAATAACTCATCTATTGATATTATAGGATCTGATATAGTAACGAACACATCATCTGCATAGAGTAAAGTTTTATATTCTTCTTGGCCTATTTTAATTCCTTTAATTTTTCCATTTTGTCTAATATTACAGATTAAGGGTTCTATATACAACAAATAGAACAATGGGGAGAGGGGACAGCCATGTCTTGTTCCGTTACTTATTTTAAACCATTCTGATGTTATACCCTTCCTAATTGTTCTAGCCATCATATGGCTATATAAAATCATAATGGCATCCAGAATCCAGCCCTCAAACCCAAAAGCTTTCAAGGCAGCCTTGAGGAAGTCCCACCTGACCCTGTCAAAGGCCTTCTCCGCGTCCAATGACAGGGTCAGAAGTGGGGCTCCTGCCTCATGAGTATGATCCAGGATATCAACCATTGTTCTCACACTATTATTAGAATACCTCTCTTTCACAAAGCCAACCTGGTCTCCATGAATCAAAAACGGAAGGACTGTCTGTAATCTATTTGCCAGGATGCTTGCATAGATTTTTATATCAGAGTTTAATAAAGATATAGGGCGATAGTTCTTTACATATTCCATAGGTTTATCTGGCTTTTGTATAGGAATTAGATTTGCATATAATAATTCTTTGGGTAAATCTTTTCCCTTAACTATGTTGTTGAAAAGATATGTAAGATATAATACCAGAACTTCCTTAAACTGTTGGTAAAATAAATTAGAATACCCATCTGGCCCAGGAGGTTTTTTTTTTGTTTTTTTTTTTGTTTTGTTTTTTAAGAATCTATTGCCTTCATAATTTCTATTTCTGAGAGGGGTTCATTAGTAAAATTCAGTTGTTCAATCGAAAGTTTTTTAAGACTTTTGTTTTGAAAATATATTTCTGGATTATGTGGTTGATTAGGTAAATTATATAAATTTTGATAAAAGGAATTGAACGCTTTACCTATTTTTCTGGAGTTAATTGAGGCCCTTCCTCTGTTATAATTTTCTGTATTGACATATTAATTTTTCTACTTTTTATCTTATTTGTAAGCATTTTTTTGCCCTATTACCTCTATAGTACCATTTTATTCTTAAGTACTCAAAAAAAATTTAAAGTTTGTTGGAGTAGAATTTCATTAATTTTATTCTTTAATATTGCTATTTTCCCACCCAATTGTATAGATGGATTGTTTTTATTAGAATTTGTTAAGTCATAAAGAGAGATGTATAATTCTGTTACGGAAGCTTCCTTATTTTTTTTTTTCTAAGTGATCCCATTTTAATAAAGTTAAATTGGCTATTGAAATTTCAACAGAAACTTCTATAGATTTGGTGAGATCCATCTCCAGAAGCATGGTCCTGTCAGTAGCTTCAAGAAGGGCTCTTTGGCTGCGTAATTGGGTGGCAGATACTGTTTTGGATCAAAGAAAACTTTGATTATTTGTCTATCTACACCTTCCAAATTGATTAATTAATGCGTGCACGCTTTCCCTAGAAGTAATTCACACCGGAGACAAAGTTTCTGATCAGTGAAAAACCCAGGAATGCTTTATTCCCCGGAGTGGGGGATCCTTCTTAAAGCAAAAATACGTCACAGTTTAAACATACAGTATACATTCACCAATTGGTTAACAGAGAAAGGGGGCTCTTGTTTAAACCCCCCTACAGAATGGAGCCTTTTAAGGTGCCATTCATGCCATTCATGCCATTCATGTAGTGTCATCATTACACACTTTTGGATACACGATGGGAGGGGGAGTGAGTGGTATCTATCAGTTCTAAACCAATGATCCTCCATTTAGCTATATATGGCATATAGCTGTTAACTGGCACAAAGGTAGTGGGGGAGGGGAGGCTAGCAGGATGTGAGGAATTTACATAGTAAACAGCAGCTGACCACATTGTAGGGGGGGAAGGGAATATTTACTCTAGAAGCCAGTTTTAACATAGTGAACAGAGAATAAATAGACATTAGTAAATAGCCATTTTATTTTAATTCATCTGTCCATAACAGTCCCCCTTAAAATGGCAATTTTTACTAAAACTACTATCTCTCATTCTAATACTGTCCCTATAGAAAAATAACAAAAGGCTATCTTGCACATCTGTCTGAACAGGCCTCGAACACTTCACTGCGCGGGTACCCCATAGCAGCTTGTCCACTACTTCTCCCGCGGCAGACTTCTGCCCGTAGAGACAGACGCTATCCCTAAATGTCCTTAAGAGGAAGTAGCTGTTGATTTAGTGCGGTGGGACTGTAAGGGTGTATGTGGTGTATCACGGTCGATATCGTCAATCTCTTGGTGAAGGAAGGTCGGGGTGGTCTGGTCGATTGTCTGATCAACTGTCTTTTGTAGGCATTTCTTAAGACAGGGTAACACACAACAAACAAGAAGAGCGAGGATGATTATCGTTATTAAAATGGCAACACCTATTTGGGCCAGAGCACCTTGCCATTCAGACATCCATCCAAACCATCTTTCCCATGGATCTGTGGCCCCAGAATTTCGTTTCAGTTCATTGGACAAACTCTTTAACTTTTCTATTGCCAACGTTACTTTACCATTAGGGCCTGTATTATCTGGAATATAGGTACAGCATGTCATGGTGTCTGGGAGTATTTTACATACTCTCCCTTTTTCTGCTAAAATCATTTCCAAGCTTATTCTATTCTGGAAGGTCATCTGAGAGATAGTTTGTAACCGCCCTATCCCACCATATATCCCATAACAAGTATAGTTCCCGGGCTATATAGTAATGCCTTCGTCTGGGTTAATATTTTTAGTAATGATTGGGTATTAAGTTTCCATGACTCGCATGCTGACCGCTTAGGTTTAAATACAGTGTAGAGACTTAAAACGCATACTTCATATCCGGAGGAAGGTTCAGGGATACTGTACCTGGGTGAGGCCTCGCTCCTCTGCAGACATAGCAGTTAGACTTGTTATGTTTAGTAGCATTGTATTTCATCCATTCAAGTCACAAGTTAGTGTCAGAGAAACCTGTCTCTACAGCCCTAGTATCCTCAAATATGGGATGACTACCATGTCTTTTAAAGTCCTAATATGTGGTTTGAGGGGATTAACAGTCATGTGTGTGGCACCTACCCATTCAGCTGAGTCATACATGTCCTGTAAGAAAAAGGTCTCCTGTTTATTGTATAAACCTCTTCCCTTCCAATTCAGATTTTATTAGCCGTAATGCTTGGGAGAATAGATTCAAACTTAGTTTCTTACCTTAAAATTATTTGGTACCCCCCTTGACACCCCTATGGCATTAATATACATATATATATATGTGTGGGTAAAACCACCCTTTATAGGGGTACTCCTTTTTGTCCTGAAGCATGAATGAGGTGTGTCAAGAGTACCTTGGGGATTGTCATGTGTTATGTGTATGGACATAATAACCTAGGCTAGGGCACATTTACTTATTCTTAGAAATCTTGTCTCATGCTACCCTAGTACTGGCAGATTCAGATCATTTAAACATTCAATATTAATATCACCACAAACTCAAGATAAGCAGATGATCTTGAAGAAGCTTTGACTGTGCGTATGGCACCTCAGACGTGAGGGCTGCAGGGTAAGGAGTATGTTTGTTTCTCTTTAGTTTCACAAGGTCCCCTTTTGGGGTATTCAGCTTTCCATCGATGGCAGGTGGTCAGGCATTATTATGGCCATCAAAACACCCACTTGTTGATATTTATTTATTTATTTTCAACAAGTATCTTTGTTCTCTAAGAATGGAGTTTCAAAAAGGGTTGTCAAGATCAACAAATGTTACTTCACATGATGCAGAGGCAGGCTTGATTCTGGAATGATGAACCCACGGGGTGATCTCTGTATCTTTCACGGTGCACTACTCAGCATGTGGTCTTGGTTATCACTTTGGTGGCTGGATAGGCCTCTGGCCATCCTGAAAACATGTCTGCTATAATTAGTGCATATTTGAATCAGCCATTCTTTGGCATTCTGGCGACTTGACTCCTCTGGAAGAGATAATGAGGTTTGGCTAGATACTTGGGGCTTTTTCATCCATTCTTCTTGAGTTGCCCTTGGCACAAATGGCACAAGATTTACAGTAACTGTTGGTCAGAGAGGCAATTCCTGGTACTTCAGAGTATTTATTGATCAAAAGAGTTCATGAGGGTTCTGGACAGATGCTCCGTAGGCCCACTTGACCACTGCTGAGTATATGTTCTTGGGCAAGTATAACTTGAGATTGTTGAAGTACAGCCTGTCTTTAAGAGTTGCCCCTTTCTGTTTCCAGCTTGTGGTTTGTTTGTTTTTTCTTTCTTTCCAGGGTCAGTAGCTTGCTTGTTATTCCTTCGGGAGCTTGATGTCTGTGGGTAGGATCTTACATGGTGAATATGGGAGTTTCTTCAGCAGACACTTTTCTGTCCACTTCCATTAGTGCACTTACAACTTTTTGAACAACTTAGTCAGCCAGAGAGCTGCCACATGCTTCCTCTGAGTTCAGTCTTCCTTCAGAGATCTTGCATGGTGTGATGGGAGTCTATAGCTCAGCTTCTTGTGCAGACATTGTTGAGGTGAGATACTTGGTCCACTGTAGTGACAGCAAATCCGGAACAGAACATAAGAAAAAGGCTAAAAAAAAAAATAATAGTCAGTGTCTTATCATTTCCCCCCTTGGGAAGTGGCAGAAGAGTGGCCAGGTAAATAGAGTATCATCCCTGCAGGGTGACATTATCCTGCACAGAATTCGTCCATCACAAGGAGAGGTGGGATATTGCATGGAAAGTCTCAGGTAACCAGGGCAACATTCGACACCAGAGCCTTAACCTGTTAGGGAATAGTAAGAGCTTGGACAGGCTTTGGGGCCTGTATAATTCAGGTAAAGGTATTGGGGGAACTAGCTAGGACCCTTGCCTCTTGGTCAGGTTTCACTGTGTGGAACAAAATGAATAATAAGGTGATAGGGGCCTGCAAGTGGGGGAAGGACATCTGCACCTAGCAGATTAATTGGACAGGTGAAGGTAACCACAAAGCAAGGCTTAGTTAACAGGCTACTCCAAGGAGAGCCATCTACACTTATGCAGGAGACAACAATGTTAGACAGGAATGAGGAGTCAGGCAGGCCTTGCTTGGTACAAATAGATGTCATGTGGCCTGCTATACAAGGCTGCATATAGTTATTGGGCATGGGCCTTACTATGTACTAAAACTTAAGTTAAAAGAAAATTTGGGACAACCTGAAGTGATGCTTCTCCACAGATGCTAACTCATCGTTGATGACATTGTTAATACAGGTAGCCTGATCAGCCAATTTATCTTAGGCTTAAACAAGTCACACCATGTAGTGGAATGGGTCATTAGGATTCGGGAAATTCTACAGTAAAAGGGCATAGTAAGGATGTACGTGATGTTACTTTAGGAGTAGGCGTGGCTGTGGATAGGGGGAAATCAGCCTTATCCATTCCCATATATTATTCCTTTTGTCTTCAGTATATCCAAACCATGTGTATGTCCAGGCGTTGCAATATACAGTAATCCATTATCAGTCATGATATTAAAATCTCATTCTCATTAATTAAATCAAAGATTTTAAATCAACCTCAGAAGTAACAACATTGTTTTTACCTTCTGTAAAATGATTGGAGTTACTGTATAATTGCATACACCCAATATAACATACATTGCATGTTCCTCACTGCTACATTAGTGTATTTCATTCTGCCATATTTGCAAACTTGATGTACATTTTTATTTTAATTAATTAACCTAATACTTTCTTAAAATACATATAAAACAATGAAAAAACAGTTCAGACTAACATTTCATTAAAACAAACTAACATAGAACTCTATTCTTGGCTGTTCTTAATTCTGGAATCAGCCTGTGTACCTCTGTTGGCAGACATATCCATGCTCATTCCCTAAACTGATCATATCTCTTGAAGTTATCTGATTCTTATAACTTTCTGTGTTACGCTGCATTGCTTGTCTGTCCCCTAATTTCGATTTAGCTAAAATTGCTTTTATTTGTCTGATTATAAGTTTACAAGGAAAGGCTTTAATTGATTTATCTCCACATGTATTTTCTCTGTCAAAATTTTCAATCAACAAATTTAATTTCTCATTTGCTTTTGATTTGATATCTCGGATAAAATATCTGCAAGATCTTGAATAATGTTGTTTATTGCACCAAAAACAAATAACTTTAGGAGTTATATTCTGCCCTATATTATCAACTGCCCTATATTTAGTTGAATAAATTGGGAGGGGCTCAGCTGTCTGTATCACTCTACACTCTGTCCTAGAAGAAGAAGAAGAAGAAGAAGGAGGGGGACGGGGGCTGTAACATCTGCACTTCTTTCTCTGCCTAAAGCCACAAGTCGTTTTAACCCCTTCATTCTTGGTTTCCCTCCTTAAGTTATCCAAGAACAAAGCTACTTCTGTCAAAGTGCTTTTTTCTCTAGCTACCACAATTGCAGTTGAATCTAGATCTTGAATTTTTTTCACAAATTCATTAATTAACTGATCTTCAGAAAAATCAGCAACAAGTCTATATGCATTTTCAAATTTTACAAGAAAACTAAATATATCCTCCCCCTTGTGTGGTTTTAGTTTTTCCAACATTTCAGTGTCTGCAAAATCATTCCCTGTTGTTAATGTTATTAATTGTGTTAATCTGTCTCGCTTATTTCCATATATTATTTCACCATTGTCCTCAAATTTTACAATCGCGGTCAGCCTACATGCCATTTGAGTCGGCAGCCATATTTGAAATAGTCTATTCCTTTGTACGTCATTTAGGCTGTATTTGTCTAAATTAGACTCAAACATTTCAGCATTAGTGAATGCATCCACTGACGTGTCATAAACTGGAATACATTTCACAATTTTCATTAATTGTTCATGGATCTTCAAATTAAGTTTTGCAGCTCTGTCTTGAAATTTATATTTCTGCAAATCACTCTGTGAGGATACATTTTCAGTATCTATTGGTTCTGGGATTAGATTCTGTGCCTTTATTTTTCTTGTATTAACACACACTCGTGCTTAACTTCATTTCTAAGCTGGCAAATAAGATCATTTCTTAGTTCAACTCTATCCTCTAATTCACAGACTGTTTCTGACAATGTTCTCTCTGTTACATTGTTACACTGTTCATTTAAATCTGATTTGTCTTCTGTTAACCCATTCAAATCTATTTCTTTTTCTGCTGATTCTAAATTTTCTTTACCTGTATTTCGTTTACAAATCAATGCATTGTAAGTACAGACTAGTTTCATAACATTTCTGATCTTTTTTTTTTTTTTTTTCTTATTAACAAACAATTTCTTGTCAATTTCACTATTGGCAATTTCACATTGTGTGTATAAAGATTGCCACAAAACAGCATCTGAATAGCTGCTATTAAATGCAAACTGCAATTTACTTTTCTCTGCGATATCATTTATAAATTCCACAATTCATTTGTTCCAACAAAATCTAACTTTCCTTATTCCAACATGCCAATAACCTCTTACTTAACAACATATACAAGATTACACAAAGTTCCTAACTAGGTTATTCGTCCAGCAAATATACCTTGTTTCCCTCACATTCCTCACTGAGTTTACAAGCATTTCACTCATTCACCCCCCCTGTAGCCAATACTCATAGCAGTCAGAGCAAGAGAAAGCAACAAAGAAGGAGGGGGGAGGAGGGAGGAAGACTTGCAAGCACAAAGTTTTTTAACCATGTGATTGCCTAAGCACAGCTCTCCTTAGGACAAAAGATAGAATAGGAGAGTAACGATACAGATTGTATAGATTACAATTAACATATATGGTACCCAACAAGACATACACAGACAAAAGCACAAAATACAGATGTAATTAAATCACAAAGTTCTTAAAATAAATGCCGGCTTATAATAAATCAAATCACACACACAGAAGCACTCAAGCACATAAACCGCTCCTTTACCAAAGCTTAGCTATTTAAACTCTTGACCGAGTCTTAATAAAACAAAGGAACCGCCAGGTTTTTTACCAAACGAGGCCAAAACATCACTCACTAGCTTCTTTACCAAAGCTTAGCTAAAATATTTTTTTTTTTTTATTTATTTATTTTTTAATTATTTTATTTATTTATTTTTAAACTCTTGACCGAGTCTCGCAATAACTTCTTTACCGAAGCTTAGCTAAAATAAATATAGAGCCAGGGGTTTTCCACCAAACCCGAACTTGGCTAAACCTGCAAGTGCTTAACCACACTTGGCAGCATTATGTAACAGTATTAAGCAAGTAGTAAAACAGATTCTCAAACAGACACTTTCACACATAAAACTCACACTCAGGACTCAGGCTGTAGATAGACAAGTGACAGGTTCTATATAAAAGGGGACATTCGGGCATATATATATTACCTGTCTGAAGACGTTAACCACCGGAAGCCGAATGTGAAGGCACGGAGAATAAGAGAAATCCAAAGAAAGGAAAATATAGGTAAGCAACTCATTTAACATATGCAGAGGTGATCAGGCTCCGTTTCCAATCTCTGGGAATCCTTTGTTCTCCTGTCTTGGGATTTGACGGCTCCCTTAGTAACGTATCCCTTTCAGTCC